CGGCCAGCATTCGTAGCCAACGAGCCAGCGGTTCCAGTGGTTGATCTGCTTTTCTAGCACGGCCTGGAACTTGGACGCCGTGGCCTTGGTCAGTGGCTTTTCATTGTCCCAGCGCACACAATAGCTGAGCTTGCCGTTGCTGGCTGCGAGTTGATCGAAGATGAGGTTCTTGAAATCCGGGATGTACTTGGACATGGTGTTCTCCCAGACCCAGTCCACTTGGTTACGGGTGACTCCTCCCTTGTTGGGGTTACCAGTGACACACTTGCCTGAGCCAGACGTGATATCACCAAACGTGGCATGGTCACCTGAAGTGGAGCTGTTACTTCCAGCCGCCTGGACACTGCAAGCAGCCGATGCAGCGAGTGCGGCGACTAAAAGGTGCTTGGTGGAGAAGTTGGGGATGTTCTTGCTTGAGGCCATGGTGGAGAAATCGAGAATGGCAACCAAATTCGATCGGTCCAAGGAAGCCGGGAGGTCCGAGGCAGGGCTATCTAGTAGTCCTCTCTGGAGAGCGTCGTCGAGCCACATCAGTAGGGCTGTAGCTTTGATGCTGGTGTCCTGTTGTACACTGCTGTCCGTGCCCATCTGGTTGAGAGGCATGTGGATCGTACGTGTACTACAATGATATAAGATGAACACTTGTTGTCATGCTGTGGTATAACTTATACTAACGGTGATCATCGCAAGCTGGATCAACTGAGTTAAGTAGAATAAAATAGATACGTGTACTTGTTGTTAAATCAACATAGTTTTCCTTCGTTTAAAAACAAGAAATTAGTAATAGATACATGCACGATAAACTACGCTCAATCAAGTGCCGGCACATGATAGCCATGATCGGTCATACATAACGTGATGAGCTTGTCAAAATCAGGCTCAGATGTGTAGTGCTTGAAACCATCTGGGAGGTCACAGCATAATGTTTGTAGGATTTGCAAAATGGCTGTCTGTATTTATTGTCAGGCATGTCTGAAAACGATTATTAAAATACAGTCGTGAAATCGTATTTCTTACTAACACCTGGTCAACGCGATCGTGTTTTTCTGGTGATTGTTGCGAAGTTGTCTTTCAAATGTACGATTAGATGCTGCAGTAGCATTTATTTAATACAATACAGATTGTCGACTGTATGTCTAGTTGTGGATGACTCCGTAACAGCTCTTCGACGCTGATGTCCTTCGGTCTTTTTTTTTATTCGTGGATAACGTCTTCAATGAAACGACAAATTCCGGTCGGGACGATATCCTATTCGCAAGTATCATGCAGACGGATCATTATAAAAGCCTGCTGAATCTCATTTTCAGAGGTTACCTTTAGCTTTTCTTCGATTTCTATTGGTTTTTCCTGCTATTCTTGAGGCAAAAGTGACGTAAACCAAAATACAGACGACGAGCGAATAAAGTACAGAAATTCCTCTCAGTATGTACGATAGTAGTTATATGACAGCCACGTTCCAATAAAAAAATGTATGCGCACTGAAGCAACTTCAGAGGGCGATAAGCATGGGGCATTTCATTTATCGGATAGGAATACTTCGTCATGTAAACAGATATGTCGGGGTATTTTGTACTAAAGAATGATAAGATTCTAACAACGTAGTTTATGCATTCTTTAATATGATTTCGATGCAAAAACAAGAACGGATATCCGCGCTGAAGTGCTAC